GCACTTAGCTGGTGTGCACAAAACCATGTGTTCAATCCTCAGTATTAAAACCAAAAAAAAAAAAAAAAAAAAGAAAGAAAGAAAGAAAGAAAAGAAGATTACACAGAAAGTTTCTTGTAAAATAAAATGCATTTTAGTATGAAAATACTCAAGTACTGAAACACAATAAAACAATATTCACAGTTGTACCTAAAACCAGGAGGAGACGCTAACCCCAATGATACCTGCATTCAAGCAGGCTGAGGTCAAAGGACCATGGGTTCAAAACCTTTTCAAAAAAGCAACAATGGCAAAATATATTAAACTGAACATTAACAATTTCCTTATGTGGGACCCAGCCAGGTTTAATTCCCGTCACCCACAGGGTGCCTCTCTAACTCCAGTTCTCGGGTATCTGATGCCCTCTTTTGGCCTCCAAGAAGACTGGCTAGCTATACATGTGATGCACAGACATATATGCAGGCAAAACACACATAACTATAAAATAAGTAATTTAAAATTCTAAAAGTGAATATACACATACATATATCCTCTGTGAATGTGAGATATACAAACATCATCATCGGTATATGTGGTTTTTATTGGGTGACAGTGCCCCCAGATCATGGTCTCTGTCAATAAACTGCACCGGCATCCCCAGAGGTAAGGTTCTGAAAGGTCCTTAGTAAAGTTCCTCTTTGTTCTACATCATGTTAATTTGGAAAAGAGAATTTAAGGCTGAGATTCAGATAATCAGGTTCTTCATCTCCATAATTCCTGATGGGACATTCAGAGATCTCAGGACAATGCTTTTTCTTTTTAATTATTTTTAGTTAACATAAGGAAAAATTCGTGATGACATTTACAACACACACACACACACACACACACACAATGTTATCCTTTGCTTGATTATCCCCTCACTCTAGTCCATTGCTCCCCCTTGTCCATGGTCCTCTATCATTGTCACTTCCCTCTCAAGACCTCCTATGAAAAATGTTTCTTGACCCTAGTGCATTGGAAGGGAGCATGGCTGACTCCTGCCCTTCCAAATTAATGGCTAGAAGTCTTGGGGGGCAGAAACACCCCTCATGTAGTCACAGTCATGGGGAAAGAAGATCCAGTTAGGCCCTTTCATGGTTTGTTCCATTCCTCTTGGTTCCAACCCAAACGCATCCCTTTTCTAGCCTCTAAAGTGAAGAGAAAACACATTCACGATGCCACTGAGAGAAGTTTAAGCATCACTGGCAGTATTTGCCACAGGGGAAATGCTGAGTGGTGACTAACTCTTTCACCCTTTCTTCCTCAAGATCCTGCAGACATCTTTTAAGTGGGGAAATGAGTTTGATAAGGAAATACAGGATCTTGAAAGTTACCATAATGTTCTTTCATTGTACACATTCCCTTCCAGGCTTGCTTCTAGACAACTTTCCCTCAGTATAGGCACAAGTTAGGAAAAATTACTAAAAGTAATTGAAGGTGTTAAATATTTAGCGAGGCCAGACAGGGTGTTGCACTCAGCAAGCAGGCTGAGGCAGAAGGATTGCCCAGGAATTCGAAGCCAGTCTGTTCTTGCATAGAGTTCAAGGTCAGTCAAAGCTACATGTTTTAAAAAAAAAAAAGGTGGGGGGGGTGGATGGGGCAGGGAGGCGGCAAGATGGCTTACTGAGCAAAGGTGCTTGTCATCCACTCTTGAGTTTTATCCCTGGGATTGAGAAAACTGACCCCTAATGCCAACAATGTCTTCTGACTTCCACATACACAACCTTCCCCACCTGTACACACTAAATAAACCATACCCACAAATAAATATAATTTTTAATTTAAAAAAGGGGGATGGAGGAGAAAGTTAAGTCAGTAAGGGTTTGCCTTGCAATCAAGAGGATCTGAGTCTGATGCCCAAAACCACATTTTTAAAAAGCTGGGTGTGCACCCTGAATCCACATACTGTATCCCTGAGGCTGGCTGGCCAGCCAGTCTACTCTACTCAGCAAACTTCAGGCCAACAGACACCTGTCTCAAGGAACAAATAAACAGGGCTAAAGAATTGGCTCACAGGTTGGGAGCACTGTTGCTCTTGTAGAGGACTCAGGTTTGAGTCCCAGCATCCACATGGTGGCTCACAACCAACTGTAACTCCAGCTTTAGAGGATCTGATGCCCTCTTCTGTCCTCCACAGGCACCAGTCATGCAAGTGGTGCATAGATACACATAAAGGAAATTAAATAAAACATCCATATACATAAAACAAAGTGATCCAAAAATAAAGAAAACATAAAACCACACCTGTGAGCTCCCCTCCTCATCCCCAGTAACATGCTGTTAAGCATCCATTACAGACTGACCTCACAAAAACAATATCCAGGAGAGGACCAACCCTGTGCACATCCAGGGACGTTAAGATAGACTCTCAGAGGTATTCATGTAAAATATGCACCATTAATTCAGTCATCCAACATGGAGCCCAAATCCAACATGGAGCCCATTATTAAGATTTGAGAGGCAGCAGTTACACAAGCAATCGAAGTATACAGAAGTTGCTTGTCCTCTTTTTGCTCAACCCAGAACTAACAAAACTAACAGCTTTCAGGGCGGCTGTTTTACAAGCCCAGAATTTCCAGGAAAGATGCCAGCACACAAGGTGCTTGTGGAAACCACCTTTGGAAGCCATTTGTGATAGCTGGAATGTTTGTATTTATCTTCTGCAATTGTCTCCCTACTCACACATGCTGGGCAACCATTCTACTACTGAACTACATTCCAGACCTTACCCTTTTCTCTTTTGGTGCTTATGGTTTTGGTGTCGTGTTCAGAGAATCAATCCAACATCAAAAAACTTTTCCTGCTGTCTTCTAAGAGTTCTACAATTTTAGCCATTCTGTTTAGTCTTAGATCCACTGAACAAGCATCAATGCATAAGTGGAGGAAAGGCTCAGGATCATTCTTTTACTTGCCAGGTCATCCAGGGCTTTACAGCTAAAACCTTTCCTGCCAACCCACCCCACAAAAAAAAAAAAGCTAGCTGACGATTAGACAGTGAGAATGGTTCATGGATTCTGCTTCAAGTCCCTGCCCTGATTTCTCTCAGTGATAGACTGTGACCTGGAAGTATAAGCCAAATAAACCCTTTCCTCTCCAAGTTGTTTTTGGTCAGTATTTAATCAGTAACAGAATGACACTAGGACACCAGCTTTATAAGATTTATTTCTGGGCTCCTTACTTCTTCCCAACTCAATGTAGGCACGTGCAGGACTGTAACCTGGTACTCAGGAAGCTGAGACAGAATTGCAACTTCAAGGAACTAGGCTACATGGCAGTTTTAGGCCAGTCTGGACTACACTGAGACCCTGTCTTAAAAACAAAAACAAACAAAAATCCAAGGGTAGGACACACTGTCATTTTATTTGCTGCATTTGCTCTCTGGGTACCTCTCAATATGTACTTCTGAATCACTTTCTTGTTATCTCCCAGATGTCCTAAGAGTTCATCCTTTCATCATTTGTGTCCCAGGAATAAAAGCTCTCTTACAAAAAAAAAAAAAAATTGCCATTATTGCACCCATGAGGTCAGGATCCCAAACAGACAACCTAGCAATAGTATAGTATAGTATAGTATACTATCCACTTCATAGTATAGTCCTAAAAGAATCTAAAGCAAGGACTGAATCAGATGCCCATACACATGCCATTTCAATGGTCCAACCCAAGAGGGACAAAAATGTGGCACATGTGTCCAATGGGATATTACTCTTCCTATAAAGGAATAAGGCTCCGACACATGCTACAATACAGATGTACCTTGAATGCCTGCAACTCCACAACTAGGGAATATGAGACCCTCTTCTGGCCTTCATGGACATCTCTGCATATACATGGCATACACCCACAGAAAGGAAAATAGTATGTATGAAGTTATTAAAATAAAGAGAAAAAAAGAAAGTTATGCTCTTACTATGGCCAGGTTTCTCAACAGGAATATATTGACATTTGGGCTACTCAGTTCTTCTTGTGAAGATTGTCCTATGCATTGGAGGACATCCAGCAGCCCTAACTGGATGACAGCAGCACCTCCCAGCTATCTCAGAAATTAACCTTAAATGGAAGCTGGATCTAGTGGCACAAGCCTGTAATAAATCACAGGTTCTATTTCCAGCACCACAAAACTCACACTTGAGAGGGGGGGGGGGGGGGGGGGGGGGGGGGGGGGGGGGGGGGGGGGGGAACAGAGACAGAAACAGAGACAGAGACAGAGACAGAGAGACAGAGAGAGGGCTCTCATTAAGTGCATACTGCTCTTACATGACTGAACTTTGGTTCCCAGCACACACAGAAATTAGTACACAATTGCCTATAACTAGCTGTAGAGGATAGGAAACCTCTGGCCTTTATGGGCACTAGCATTCATGTGTGTGCATCACATAAACTAAGCACTAGGACTGGAAGGATAGCTCAGCCATTAAAGGCTAGGCTCATAACCAAAAAACTAAGCACTATATAAAAAATTTATAAAAGAGCAAAAAGTACAGAGAAGCTGGGGGCACATCTGAAGAGTTGAGCCCTCATCCTGTGTGTGCAAGGTCCTAGGTTCAATCTAGTATCATGCCTCCGTGTATATCATGCCCCCACTATCAGAAATATTCACTGACAGCACTGAAACTGCAGGTTTGCTTCTGTTCCACTGATCTTAGAACTTTCTGTTCTCACCACAAGCCACATGGATGGGGGTTCTGAGCAGTAACCCTGTGAATGTGTTTGCTCCCCAAGCAGAAATACTGAAAGCATGGAGAAGTTATTTCAGGAGGAAGCCCCCCTCTCCGTGTTTGTTTGCTTTTTATTTTTATTTTTTGGTTTTTAGAGACAGGTTTTCTCTTTGTGTAGCTCACTTTGTAGACCAGGATGGCCTCAAATTCACAGAGATCCGCCTGCCTCTGCCTCCCCAGTGCTGGAATTCTGAGCTCACCACCTTTGTCTTTCCCTCTCACTTGGAATTCTGGCAGGGAAATCAAACAAGCATCACAACAGTTTAACAAAACTCTTTAATAAAATTTATAAAAACAGTTTCAATTGCTTATCTTTCCACTCCCCACAAAATACAAAATTATCAGCACCCACACACATATACACTCAAACTACATACAAGTGACACTCTATACTGACTACATTAGACATTTAAACTACAGAGAAATCAACAGTTCTCACAGTTGACTGCAGGCATTGTTTTTGTCCAAAAATAGTTGAGAGTAAAGCACTTTCAAGGAACTCTCTCCAGTGGTTATCAAGAAACTGAGATTTGCATTTTGAATTAAGAAAAGATTGAGTCAAGACCCTCACCCCCTTCCTCCCATTAGAACAGTGTTTTCTTGCGGCTTCTATGAGAAAATGCACAATTTCTAACATTCTCATTTTCTTTTTTTCTTTTTTTGGTTTTTCAAGACAGGGTTTCTCTGTGTAGCCTTGGCTGTCCTGGAACTAGCTCTTATAGACCAGGCTTGTCTGGAGCTCACAGAAATCCGCCTGCCTCTGCCTCCCAAGTGCTGGGATTAAAGGTGTGCGCCATCACTGCCCAGCACATTCTCAGTTTTCTATGCATACTTAGAACTCAATAACCTTGATCCAATTCAGCCAGCATTTTCTGTAGCTACTATCAAAAGCAGGTATTGGAAGGTCATGTCTCCTGGGCTTTGGGGATGCATGGACAAGGGTTCCAGTCAGGAAAAACATGGTGAGATCCCTCTATTCTTCCAGAAATTTTCTGGGAAAGAGGCCAAGCCACCTGTGCACTCTCACCATCAGTGTGCTATCTGGCCAGGCTCAGTGACATAGTTGCCACCCCCAAGCCAGTCTCTCAAATTTCCTCTCCTCTGTCTTTGGCTTTAGCACTCTGGGCACTAGTCTAAGTCTCAGCATACATGGCTCTTTTATGTTGATGTGAAGGAAACATAAGAAACCAAGTAGTGCCTAAAAACCTTCCTACGTGTTCTGGTCACAGCTCCCCATAGAGAACCAAGGAGACTTTTCCCACTACAGCTTTCGCCTGAGAAACTGACTCCAGATAAGGAATGCCCATTTCAAGTGAGTGCTCCAGAGGTAAGGAAGGAAACCCGTGAAAGGTCTTTGAAACACACAATATCCAGTTCAGTTGCACCCACACCAAGACACCTGTCTGTTACCAGAAAAGGACCCAGTCATTTCTGCATCATAGAAAAGCACCTGGGCAGGGCAACAGAATTCAGGAGCATAAGTGCGTATTAGAATACAGAACACAAATGTAGAAATTGTGGGAAAGTACACAATTTAAAAGTCTTAGTGTGGGGTGAAGGGCTTGGGGACACGACACTTGACTAGATCCCTAGCTCAAAAACAAAAACAAACCATTTCCTATACACAGTGAAACAGAAGTAGGGCAGACACCCTCCCCTGCCTCTTGAACATAAAGGAAAACTTCCAGTGCTAGCTGAGCCTTCTGAGACTGAAACTGTCATTTTGAAATAAAAGATTTGAACTGGGGCTACAGCTCAGTAACAAGAGTGCTTATCTCACACTGTAAAGTCCCAGATTCAGCCTCATCCACGGGGTGGGGGTGGGGGGGGATGGAATTAAAATTTTAAAAAATTAAAAATAAAGAAGGAGAGGTTAAGCCTATATAACTCAGTGGAAGAGTTTAAATCCTAGCACTGTAAAAATAAAAAACCGATTTTGAGAATAGGTGACAACCTAACACACAGTAGACTGGTAGAATGGGATGCAAACTGCATCTTGGGTAAGTCTCTCTCTTAGAAACTCAAGGAAGAATCTGAAAGGCAACATTATTCTGCATCTCCCAGGGACTCCTCTCTAGTCCCCTAGTCATCCTCGCCGCCACCATACATATCAGCCAGCTTCTTAAAGCGGTTGCCCCACTCGTTCAGATAGTCGTAGTCCTGGTCCTGATCCGACTCAGAGGAGTTAAGTGAGCTCAGGCTAGCAGCTTCGGAACCGCTCCCCTCATAGTCAAACACCAACAGAGAGTCGTAAGGAGGTGCTGTGGGGTCGCTGTCGGCTGCCTTCAGATTCTAAAGGGAAGAGCACCATATTTATTACTGTGTGTCTGAGGTAAGCAACACCCAAAACATGAAAAGGCAACCAGTGAGCAGTTAGGCATACACAGAAGAACAAGCCACAGGATGCTTTCCCTAAACAGGGTTGTTAAGCTATACGACGTCAGCAGGGAGAGATGGACAGCTAGCTGCCTGTCAGGATGGGGGTCCCCAGAAATGAGAGTAAGGACCTCCTATCACCAATGAGTATAGACAGAGGCTAAAAACAATGAGTGATCAGACTAGCCCATAGAGATAACAGTTCAGCCCAGAAGGTCCTCAAGGATGGACGCCAAACTATCATTGTTAAATGTTAACCCTGAAAGGCAAATTGAAGGATCAGGAATTTAAAGTCATCCTCTGTGTGGTGGTTTGAATGAAAATTGCCCCGATAGGCCCATAGGGAGTGGCACTATTAGCAGGTGTGGCTTTGTTGGAGTAGGTGTGACCTTGTTGGAGGAAGTATGTCACTGTGGAGGACAGGCTTTAAGGTCTCCTATGCTCAAGCTATGCCCAACGTGGGACACAGACTATTTCTGCTACCTTAGGATCAAGATGTAGAACTCTCAGCTCCTTCTCCAGGACCATGTCTGCCTGTGTGCCACCTGCCATGATTACCTAAATCTCTGAACTCAAAACTAGCCCCAATTAAATGTTTTCCCTTTTAAGAGTTGCCTTGCGCTGGGCATAGTGGAGCACGCCTTTAATCCCAGCACTCAAGAAGCAGAGGAGGATCTCTGTGAGGTCAAGGCCAGCCTGGTCTACAAAGAAAGTTTCGGGACAACCCGGGTTACACAGAGAAACCTTGTCTCCAAAAAAATCTCTAATCTCTTTATAGCAATAGAAACCCTAACCAAGACACTCTGCTACATAGTTCAAAGCCAGCCTGGTATACATAGGGAGTCCAAAGCCAGCTAGGGTTACATCATCTTTGAATACTTGGTCCTCAGGTAGAACTGTTTGGAAGGAGTAGGAGGTATGGCCTTGTTGGAGGAAGTGTGTCACCAAGAACAGGATTTGGGGTTTTAAAAGTCCAGGCATTTCCAATTAGCTCATTTTGTCTCTGTCTCTCTTTCTGCCTCCAGCTTGTGGATCAAAATATGAGCCCTCAGCTACTGCTCCAGCCAAGCAAGCCTGCTGCCATGTCCCCTGCCATGATAGTCATGGACTCTAACCCTCTGGAGCTCTACATTAGACTCTTTCTTCTGTAAGTTGCCTTGGTCATGGTGTCTCAGCACAGCAATAGAAAAGTAACTAAGATGCCAAGATAATGGAGCAGAAAGGCTCTATATCCAACAGAGAAGACTGCTGAGCCCAGCCTTCCATAGGCACAAAGTGCATCTCCTACTGTCTGCTTAAGCTTTTTGGTTAGAGCTGAACATACTTCCTACATGTACAATAACATGTGGATATGTTACATGATTGATGCTATTTTTATGGGCCTTAGGTAAACTGGGATACATTTGTGCACGTCCTGTGATTGTGTTTACATGTGTGTGCACATGTGCACGTGAAGGCCCAAGCAAGATCTTTGTAGGGACATCAACATCATCTTCACTGTATTCCCTGAGACAATTGAACCTACAGCTTGCTGATTCTGGATGATCTAACCTGGACACTAGAATAAAAGGAGGCTGCCATGCCCACGCAGCATTTATGTTGGTGCTTCAGATCCAAACTCTGGTCCTCAGTCTTGCTCAAAAGATGCTATTGCCCCAGGCTCCCCAAGATGCTATCCCAAGCAGCTGTAATGAATGTAGGAGACTCATTCATGAAATCAAACTAAGTCTACTAAAGCTTTGCAAGTAGATCTTGGTTTTGTCTCAAGGATCTGGACAAATAGACACCATAAGGCAAGAATTCGAAGGTTCTCCTCATTGGAATGTTTTTCTCCTTAGATCCCAAGTTAAGAGATGCCTACTTACTTCATCGATGAAGTTCCCAATTTCATCAGGATTAGCTGGGCGGGGACGATACTGGGGCACACTCAGGAGAGTGGGAGCAACATCATTTCGAGTCACTTCAGGTCGAGCATCCAGGCCCCTGTGCAACTGGCTCAAATCATAATCCTAGAGAGAAGAGCAGAAACATGCTGACAAGTGAAAAAGCAGTAGGTGCATAGGCGGGGCTTGTCTGCTTCATGGAATCACAGACTGTGCCATTGGACAAAGCTAAAACTACCTACTGTGTGGTATTGGCCAATGTGTGCCCAAAAGCATATGAAATGGCAGTTTCCAAATTAAGCGTCTCCTAACTGACACTGAAAAAAAAAAAAAAAAAAAGAGAGAGCACTAGGGGATTCTATGAGTGCAAACTGTTATGTCTTACTCATTTTACAGGACATGACTATGGGGTTATTACTTGGCAAATTTTACTCAGTCCTCCCCCACCATAGCTGATGCAAGTAGTATCTGGCCTGTTAACAATAGACTCTGTCAGGTGAGGGGCTTCAGGTAACAAGATAGCAAGTGATGCATGCCTACTGGAACCCAGATTAGGCTCCTGTGCAGCAGACTGGACACAAGGGTGGCTTAGGGTCTTTCAGCAAAACTCTGCTTGGATTAGTTGAATTTTCACTGATTTACAGATTTTGTAAGCTTCAATGTAAGCAACATACACTTCAGAGAACACAAGAGTGTCTGAGGGAAGACACCTGACTTCTTGTGTACCACTGAGATTATAGGGTTCTGTGCTCCATAGCAGTATTATGGGGATGACTCTCTGAAACAGCAGTATCTGGTACCCTTCCCCCCACAATTAGACTTAAAGTTTTGCATCTTTTAAAACCCACCTGGTCCTCTTCTCCACCTCCTTCTTCATCATAGTAATATACATTGTCCCGGGTGTCATCGTCTGGGGGCAGCAGGGGCTCTTTGACCACCGTTCTCCTCCGCAAAAACAGTAGGAGCAGCAGAATCAGAACTAGAGACAGATGAGGAAGGTGGGAAGAGTGATGAGCCATAGCAAGGAAGACCAAAGGAAGCAAAACTCTCATGGGCACCACAGCCTTGCAACTCTAGGCAAGTGGCAGATGGGTAGTTACCTTGAGTTTACCCTGGGCTACATAGTAAGTTCCAGGCCAACCTGAACTACAAATGAAACCCCTTCTCAAAACACAACACAGAAAACAGGTTGGACATCTGGCTCCTTCTTTAAATGCCTCATACGAGAATCTTCCCAACTTTAGCCAATTCTAATAAATATATCTACT